ATGAAGTGATTGAAGGCCTTGAAGGCGTAGAAGTAATAGCTGATGACATTTTGGTTTTTGGTAAGGGGAACACCACTGAAGACGCTATCAGAGATCATAACATCAAATTAGAACAGTTATTGAAGCGAGCACGAGAAAGAAATTTAAAATTTAACAAAGACAAAATTCGATTGTGTTCAAATCATGTCAATTACATGGGACACATTTTGTCTGATGAGGGTCTTAGACCTGATCCTGGAAAAGTGGAGGCGATAAAGGCTATGTCCAGACCCCAAAATGTAAGAGAAATACAACAATACCTAGGTTGTATCAATTATTTAACGAAATTTCTGCCCAGACTTTCTGAGGTTGTACAACCACTGAGAGTTTTAACTCAAAAGTGCATGTCATGGAGTTGGAGTGAGCCTCAAGAACAGGCATTTATGTTATCAAAAGAACTGGTTACTCAAGCTCCCGTGCTAAAATATTTCGATCCAAGTCTGCCTGTGACAATACAAAGTGATGCCAGTGACAAAGGTCTAGGAGCAGTTCTCTTACAAGAAGAACAGCCTGTTGCATATGCATCGAAAGCATTAACAAACACAGAAACTCGATACGCTCAAATTGAAAAAGAGTGTCTATCAATAGTATTTGCCTGCGAACATTTCTATCAATACATTGCAGGAGGCACCAAGGTTCATATAGAGACAGATCATAAACCTCTTGAGAATATATTTAAAATGTATATTCACCAAGTTCCAAAAAGATTACAAAGAATGCTTCTAAGATTGCAGCGATATAATTTAGAGGTCAAGTATAAACCTGGAAAGCAAATGTATATATCAGATTGTCTGTCAAGGAAATATCTAATGAAGACAGGTGATAGGAATGAGCTTAATTTTGAAGTATATCTAAATGATGACAAAAGCATTTATCAAGAAATTGAAAATATAAAATTGATTGAATTTGTTAATATCTCGACAGCAACGGCAGAACAAATAAGACAACAGAATTGTAAAGATCAAACAATGCAAGTGCTTGTCAACCTAATCAGAAAAGGGTGGCCTAAAAGCAAATATAAAGTTCCTAGGGAGGCCATGGAATATTGGAAATTTAGAGATGAACTGACCGAACAAGATGGGATAATTTACAAAGGACAAAAAGTAATAATACCAAAAACATTACGATCAGAGCTACTCAACCGAGTTCACGCCAGCCATCATGGAGTAGCAGCAACGCTGGCCAAAGCTCGACAAGCAATTTTTTGGCCCGGGATGAATCAATCTATAAAAGAAACAGTTGAGAAGTGCAAGGCCTGTCTAGCTTATCAACCAAACCAAACAAAAGAAACCCTTATGTGCCATGAAACTCCCATTTTACCATGGAATAAAATCGGAATGGATATTTTCTCAGTAGAGACGACTCAATATCTTATCACTGTAGATTATTATTCCAGCTTTTGGGAACTAGATATGCTAGAACATACTACTTCAGAATCCATAATCGAATGCTGTAAAAAGAATTTCAGCCGACATGGAATACCTGAAACACTAATAACAGATAACGGACCGCAATTCATTAGCCGTGAATTTCAAAAATTTCTAAAAACATGGAAAGTAGTGCAAATTACCAGCTCACCGTATCATAGTCAATCAAATGGCAAGGCGGAGTCAGCAGTCAAATCTGCAAAGATGCTTGTTAAAAAAGCTAAACATGAGCAAGAAGATTTGTGGCTTGCCATTCTAGAATGGCGGAACACCCCATTAAAAGATCTTGGATTCAGCCCAAATCAGGCTCTTATTTCCAGGAGAACACAAACCCTGATTCCTATTCATAAAAACTTGTTAAAACCAGAAGTTCAACTTAATGTTTATGAGAAAATAGTAAAAAGAAAAACAGAAATGAAAAATCTATATGATAAACAGGCAAGGGACTTAACCAAATTGAACCCAGGACAAAGTATAAGTGTCAAATTGAAAGAAAAAGATAAGTGGAGGATGGGTAAATGCATCTCTGCCCAAGATCCTCGATCGTATATAGTTGAAGTTGATGGTCATGAATACAGAAGAAATAGAAGAGACATTAGAACTTTACCATCAGGCTTAAACCTTAATGAAGAGTACACAGACCAAAACCCACAGGGTGAAGATTTTGAGCCAAATAAAAATAAAGTAGATCCGATCTGTGAATCCTCCACTTCAATGGAAACACCCCGTTCCACCGACTCAGGCCCACGGAGGACAAGATCTGGTCGACCAATCCGAACACCATCAAGATACAGCGACTATGTTCTAGACACTTAAGTCATTATTTACTCTCTTATATCTCTTTTATACACACATTAGTTATATAGCTATTATCTCATATACACTATCTTTTGTTTTAAAAAATAGGGAGATGTTTGGGACTAAATATATATATATTCTATTAATCTGTAAATAAATATATATCATCATTATAAACAATAATAATCACCTGTAAGATGAAAACAACGTGTTGATGTAAAAATATCTGTTTAAAGTATAATAAACAATTTTATACAAATCATATTCTTAATTATCAAAATATAAACACCAAACAGATGGCGTCTGGTTTTAGATGTCTATTTTGACGGGAGAGGTGACCCTTGTCTCTTTATATTTCAATATAAAGAGGTTATGCAAACTAAAGAAGAATGGACCTTTAGACATGGTCTAAGGAGATAAGCTATAATACAATATAATGCGGTTTGGGATTGTAAAACTACATTTAAAGATTATCCCGCATGAGTTTCTTTTCAACGAAATATCAAAAATTTTTTTTTTTTAGGAGAAATATTGATTATTTCTAACCTTATGGATGAGGTATGAAAGGATGAATTGTGAAGAGTAATGATAAATGGAAAAATAAAAGTGTCCAGGGATGGGAATCGAACCCACAGAGATTAAGCTATACCAATATGTAAATAAATTTACAATAGTGAGATAATCTTACTGTATACAATATTTTTAATTATTTATAGCATGAGAATTTGATGACAATTTTATTTAAAATTATCTTTAGTATATGTGGAACAGGTCATTATAATCATGATAGTTGGCAACTACTTTAATTCTAAGGGCATTACATGTCAACCTATGTGGAATACAGTTCAATTTTTGCACTTATAAGTGTATCAGAGCCCTGTTTGGTTTATTGTACTCACTGGTGGGGTTGGACTATATGACAATGTTATCAAAATGTCACAATTTAGTGTTATCACAATGTCACAAGGGTTTCATCTTTACAAATTGTCATTTAATATCATTTATAAGATGGATATATGAAACTGGTATTTTATTTAATATACCAAAATTTTTCAATTGTATAAAAAATGGATTTCTATTGCATATACCAATATATGTTAGGTTATAATTGCAAAATTTCGAATAGTGATGTAATAATTCACTATTGTTGTATCAAAATACTACATATTTCTTTAGTTATGAGAAAAACATAATTGTTAGTTTGTTATCTCATATGAATTTGAGAATTGATTTTTAAAAGTTTCGATGCATTTAAATAATATTTTAAATATGTTTATAGAAATGTTTTTACTAAGGCCTGATGGCGTACACAACACTCGCATGTAGAAATTAAATTGACTCATAAAAAATCCGGATTATTTATATTTGTTACTTACCTATAATGTAATTATTTTTCAAGGAGTGCAACTTTGTTTACAGTGTAGTTTTAATGGAAATATCTAATAAACACACTTAAACAACATTATTTTAAAGAGAAAAAAAATATTAAACAAACTTAACATTTTTATTGTTATAGACACAGATTATTAAATTAAAAATTAATATCATAGAAATAAAAAAAAATAAATGAATTTACATTTAAATTTAATGATTATTTTGACAAATTTTAATTTAATAATTATTTTGACAAATTTTAATTAATTAACATATTTTATTTTACTTCATTAATTTTACTTCAAATTATCATAACTTCTAAAAATATATAGTAATCCAAACACATCAAATCTGATATATAGGTTTTTAACTTTTAATTAGACAATTTTAATTTATATTTGGTCATTTTTCATTTTTATTTAGACACTTTCATTTTTATTTAGACATTTTCAATTATAATTTAGACAATTTTCATTTTAATTTAGACATTTTTCATTTTAATTTAGACACATGGACTGTTTATAGAAAAGTCGATGTGTCTAAATTAAAATGAAAAGTGTCTAAATTAAAATTTAAAATGTCTAAATAAAAATGAAAGTGTCTGAATTAAAATGAAAAATGTCTACATATAAATTAAAATTGTCTAATTAAAAGTTTAAAAACCTATATTTTAATCTATATAGCTAAATATGATTAGCATTACTAGAAATATAAGCTGACATTTTATGTTTTGCTAAGATACTAGTCTCTATTAATTGTGCGGTAATTAAACGAAAATCTTGAATAAGGTAAAATATAGTTCTGTAGGTTGAGGATTGAAGATCCTTATTTTCATTATGGTAATATGTGGAGAGGTAAGGGTGAATGTGGTATTTGCAGAGTGAGATTCAGACATGAATGTGGGGCACGTGAAATATAGTTTTGGCCACTTGTTTGGTGTAACTCGAATATCTTATTGATCTGGCGGGGCGAGTTAAGTATAGATTTCGTTTATAGTAGCCTCATATATATAATAATATTTTGTATAATTTTATAAAAGTCCCTTATAATATTTAAATCTTATTAAGCAAGCTAATCTCAAAACTGCAAGGTGGAAAAGAAAGGTTTAATATCTTGGCCTGACTATACTTATTCTCAAGTCTGTCTAATTTGCATGAAGCCAACATTTGAACCGATTGTCACAATGCTTGTTGGGCATTAAATATATTAGAAATTGCCAACTAAAAAATTATCAAGAATTGAGGGAAAAAATAAAATTAAAATATACAAGTATCAGAGTCATCAATAATCAACAATCAATAATTCTGTCACCGTTTGCTTTTGTGAATGGAATAAATACCCAAATATGGCCATTTCTTATAAGCATCGGTGGTTTAGTGGTAGAATGCTCGCCTGCCACGCGGGCGCCCTGGGATTCCCCGCCAATGCATTTTTTTTTTTTTATAATTTTTAAAACTCATTTATATTATTAAAATATATGTGCTTTTCCTGTCTATGTACAGATTTATGGTCTATGTACCAATTTACAGCCGATGTGCTTTACCAGTCTATGTACAGTTTATTGACAAATAACAAAAATACAGCTATTAGCACTGTTTACTTTTTACAGTCATAAAATAATCATTGTATTAATAACAGCTGATACAGCAAAAAAACATGCATCATAAAAAATCTATTAAAATATACAAGTATCAGAGTCATAATAATCAACAATCAATCAACAATGGTGTTGGTGATGGGGGGCCTCTCCATGAAAGATTTTTGGTAGAAATTTGAAGAGATGGCTTGGAGTGGAAGCAATTCTCCTGGGGGGATCTGGTCAAATGGTCTTGGGAATATAATACAGTTTATGATGATAGAGTAGCCTTACATGTTAGGTTTCGAGATTGAGGCAGGGTGGAGTATGAGTGCGGTAGGACAGAAGAAGCGGCAATTTTTGCTACACTGTCTTCTAGTTCATTGCCATTGATTCCAGTGTGTCAGGGTACCTAAAACAGCCTGATTATTATTTTTGCCACTAGCGATGTACTTGTTGGTCCTGAGGAGCAGATAGGTGCTAAAGCGAATCTACAGTCTGAGGCAATGATCACTTCTGTTTTGGTAAGACTAGTCTCCGCGATTTGAGCTGCCCAAAGAATTGCTAAGAGTTCAGCTTGAAAGACAGTCTGGGTGAAGCCGTAGGAGAACTGGCTGATGTTCTTGGGAAGGGAAGATGATCGCAGTACCAAAGCCTGAATCTCTTTTTGATCCATCTGTGAAAATTAGTGGCGTTGTTACCTATTCTAGGTTAAAACTGAAGGAAAGGGATCTTCTGAATGGGGGTATGGCAGCGCAGCAGGTACTGGCTTTGATTATAGTTCCCCTCCATCTTCTGGGAAATTTTCCTTAAATATTTCTGCCAAAAAATGGCCTAACCACTCTGCCAGCTAGACACTACTTTGGCAAATTCTGAAGATTTCATGTGTTCCTAAGGGGGTTAGTGAAGTCAAAGACCTCTTGGATTAAAGAGGACCAATATCTTGAAATCATGCCCACCAGGAGCTCCAGGCTCGCTTTAGTCCTACATATGAGTCTCTAAAAATTTTAAAAGGAATGTAACCTTCTTCAAAGTAGAGTGTAGAAATTTTGAACTCTCTTCACACAGAAATCCAAGTAGTTTTCTTACTTCACTAAAAATATTGTCTGCAATCTATATATAAAGTATATTGTCGTGTATAAGGCCTCAAAACACCTACCATCTCCGCCAATAGATGGCGCTTTCGCCCGTTTCCTCTGGAACTGGTGTGGATATCGCCGACTGCTGTGGTCCTGTTTCCTGGAGCAAATAGTTGTGGATAGATGTTCGTATTGACTCTGGAGTGTAATTAATTGTAAATACCTTTTGAATGTTATTCTAGTTTTATGTAATGTGTATAGAAATGACAATAAAAGAGGAGTGTTAGAAGTCTTGTTGCCGTTACTGTTGTTACTCTCGCCATCGCCACTCCGCTGCTGCTACTCTTCTGGTAAGTCTCTCGTGTCCCCCCACCAGTGGTAAGGCCGAGAGATACTGCCAGAGGAAAGGAGTTCCACTTGAGCGGTGGTTCTCAGACGTCCTTGGGTGCTCTGCAGGGTAAAGCTGCAGAAGGAGAGCAACGGGAGTCGGTAGGTGATCCACGGCGCGGAAGAAACGCGTCGTCGCGAAGAATCAGGAGGGGCAGCGCGCGACAATATCTATATATATAAAAATGAATGTTTGTATGTTTGTCTGTTTGTTGGTCTGTATGCACGGTATACAAATTCGCAGTAGTCCACTAATTTAAACCAAAATTTCCATACATAGGTAAAAAATAAGGGGGATGACGATAGGCTATTTTAAAAAATATATAAATCAATTATTAAAACTAGATATTCAAATTATTCTACTTAGCTCAGAGCAGCGCCCTCTAGAACGCGGGCGAAGTGCCGGCGGCGCGCACCCGTTGGCTGCCGGCGAGCACGAGACTTCCCCGCCCCCTGCCCCCCCCCCCCCCCCCCCCTGTCGAGATAATATGATCGTCCGGCTGCCGGCCGGTTGGACAGTACAAGTTCCCACGACCAATCAGAGGGATCAAGAGGTCCTGGCGCGCGGGGGCAGAGTTGGTGACAAGAAAAAAGCCTCGCGGGTGACCGTCCATCTTCCATATGTAATATACATTTAATCGTGTAAACCCGGGCCGGGTCATTCGTCTAGTTAACTATAAAATAATATCTATATTTATAGGCGGTGTGTTACAAATTCTGAGTTCTAAGTAAATATATTTGAATAAAGTTAGTTTGATGAAATTTTCTGATGGCATTGAAAATGTGTGTGTTTGATGGGAGACTTTTATATTTGAAAAAAAAAAAACTATTCAATAAATATTTTAAAAAGTCAATACACTATTATATTGGAACTTTTCATTCATGCCAAAATTGCATATATAGCTCATTTAATAATCTGATGTTCACATTAAAATCTAATTTTCACATTAAGCTCTCTGAAAATAAATATATAATCTCAATACAGGGGATACATTTTTTTAAAAACTCCTCTATAGAGAAAACTAAATGAAAATAGAAGAAAACTATAAAATCACTAGCTATATAACTTTATTTTTCTTCCTCAAATTTTATTTCTTTATAAAGGAAGGAGAGACATAAATGGTTTGAAGGGTGAATATACAGGTAGATAATCTTTATTTCAGGATTAAGGCGTAAGGCTTTTCTTGGGAAAATCACATTCTTGCTTGTTATTGTTGAAGAAGTGAGTTTCACAACTCCATCAGATATACTATTGCAAAAATTATTAGATAGGACAAAAAGACACATACCTATTTCAACACGCACTCACACATAAATACACACAACAGATTCATTTTTGACTCATAACCAATATGTTATAACTCAAACACCCATTCTCAATTGTGCTAAAGCATAAATTTCATTCACCTTTCAATCTATGCATTTTTTTGCACTTAATTGTTTAAAAGAAAGCACTAGAGAGAAGAGGAAGAAGTGAGAAACTTTAAAGTTATTATTTTTTAAAGCAACTATTTAAAAATAGTATAAATATATATATTTTAGAGATTGTACTTATTCGCAATAAATGTTTATAGGGCTTTATATAAATAAAGTTTAAATTGATTCACAATAACGCACAATCCAGATTTATCCATTTTTATGGTCAATATTAAAGAAGTACAAGAACTATCAAAAAGCTAAAATTTGTTTAATTAAAATAATAAATGAGAGAGAGAGAGAATTAAAAAAAAAAAAAAAAAGAAAAATAATAATTTATGGGATAATTATAAAATTTCATCTGATATATTTCCAAAAAGTTTTTATAAAAAATTTAGAAAGCAATATGTATTGTATTTTCGCCTTTATATTATTTATTTAATATTTTAAAAAAAGTGTTACACTTTAAAAAAAATTATAAAGCTAGACGTCTACTGTAGGAAATGCGCATGTCATATCAAGCGCCATCTTGAAATTTATCTATCGTAGGGAGGAGTTTACTAAACAATAATATTAGCTTTTTATTTATATACAAACTTTTATATATTCATTTTATTAAATTTTATAGAGTCACCTAATAATTGTTAAATAATTTTTATTTATAATTTTGCAATTTTAACTTAATTTAAAAATATCCTAGAAGTTTACATTCCTTTGGGAGGCCTTTAACTTTTTAAAATAATTTTTTAAATTACTAAAAATAGAATTTAATAACAATTTTGATACCATTTGATTAATTACCTATGATCAAAATAGCTTTCATAGTCCTTCACGGCCAAAGAGGTCAGTATCATATACATAAAAAATCGATTTATAGTATATTGATGTTTCTGCCGTCATCACTTCTATATAAGTACATCTTGCTATTTCTTATTACTTGTTATTTGTAGTTGTCAAAAATGTTAAAGAATGATTTTAATATAATATTTTAATGATCTAAGTCTTTGTGACAAAACGATTCGAACTATATATACAATTTAAATTTTATTTTATCTAGTTATTGTTGATTATTGGCTTACCCTTCTTTTACCTGAACATTTAATACTCATTTTTGACTTGCTAGAAGTCCAAAATAGACACACAAGTTAGATGTCAGGGCCTTTAAAATAAAGGGGCATTTAAAAAAAGGTAATCTAAACATTGCATACAACAATTTTTTAAAGAAACCTTTTAATATTATTTCTAATAACATTTTATATTCAGATATTGTATATAAAATGCCAATGTGTTTATACCAAAATATTTTCATTTTAGATTTGTAAAGAGAGATAACAATTAATTACAATAACAATTTAAATGCCTTATAAGAAAATATATAATTTAGTACTAAAGATTCCATCAAAATATTTGATGTTTTAAATAATTTACCTATACATTACACAGAAAAAAAAAAAATCAAGACAGCTATATAAATATTACCAAATACACTAGATTGTTATATAGTAAACTTTAAAAATGCCATATATTTTTATTTTAATACATTTATTTGCTCTCAAACATATATTCTACATTTGTCAAAATAACTGAAAGTCACATTTTTATTTAGCCTAATATATATATATATTTAAAAAAAAATGATAATAAATAATTATTAATCTATAATTATTAGAAAAATAATTATTAGGTTATAAAATTTATCTATATTATATATATATAGTTCCATTAAGAATTTCATTGTCTTGTTGTTTTATAATTAAGGCTATTTTGAAATGTCTTCTGCAATTAAAATATATGATATCTGTGAGCTGTGATATCAATGAGTTAATTAATTGTTAATTAAATATTTATTTTCAATTTGATATTAAAATAAGGAATTATTTTATTTTACTATAAATATTATTTTAAAATCAATAGAATTTTTTAATTTCTCTAAATTATTTTGCATTTTATATTCATATATTAAAAGAAAAT